AATGTTTCTCATACCCCTGATTGGTCATCAACGGTTACTGGTCTTGGAACGTGTTGCCACAGGTTTGCCATTGAATCCAATTGAATCTTGAAAAAAAAAAAACTCTGGCGAACTGTTTGTCACTAGTGGCAATAAATATTATTGTTGCCAAAGGTTTGCTGCAGATTCACCACTAGTGGCAAACATTTGCAAACTTCTGGCAACATTTTGTGGCACACTATTTCGTTTGCAGCAAATTAGACACAAACTTGCGGGAAGTTTGCCGCAACAAATTCATTTTTGTAAGGGCTAGCAATGTCAGTCTAATATCAATCTAAAACAGTGGCGGCTCCTGAAAAAATTCTCAGGGGGGGCAATTTTTCTGATGATTTAGGTGACCTACACACATTTTAAAAAAGATATGTCCAGCAACAACATGAAGACAGGGGCAGCATATAAGTCAATACCAGAAGCATTTATTGACTGATCTCAAAAGTGTTGGCTTACCAGGGTTGGTGGAGCCCTCAGTTTCATCTTTGCCTCGCAAAGCTAACTCAAACACTCCGCAAAACTTCACACACTGGATTAGCCGGCTGAGGATGTGGCGGTTCTTGCTAATGTCGTAGTAAATATATTTGTTATAGTGAATATGGAATATGATATGTTGAGTAAAATGTTGTGCTAAGATCTATTTAGGTCAGGAGCTGGTTATAAGTTCTGTTCCTATCCAATTACAATGGACAAAAGGGTCCTATCTTGTCAGCCTTGTCAGTTTCAGTTCTCCAGTAAACTTGTGATTATCAACACTAACCTCATCGTTGTGGCGGCGGACAGCTAGCCTGTATCCCTCATCCAGTTGAGTGGGAATGTTCACTCTCCCCAAAGCAGACCATCTCAAACAGCTATCCATGTGGGTCTTTGACAGCTCATGTTTCTTAATCTTTCCTGAAAGATGGTGCATGTCCGTTACACACCAGTCGCTGTCCAAGCGGTGCTGTCTGCCGTGCCGCCATCAGGGTGAAAGAGTAAGCAGGGGTAGCAGAAGACTGCATTAGCTACATCGCAGCCTGCTAGCCAGGTTTTTCGTTCGTACCAATTTTTGGAAAATCCTCGGGTGTAGGACTTCCCCCCTTTAGTAGAAACCTGTTGAATTATTAAATTTGGTCTGGGAGGTCCTAATTGTTTCGTTGCCAATTTATCTTCATTTGTTCGCCGACAAAAAGGAACTTCTTTCAAAGACACAATCGAGTTGCACTGAAGCCTAGCCATTTTGATAGTAGTAGTGAATTGATTGACGCTGCTACCCGCTCTTTTCTTAGTTACGTTCATGGTTATGTTACGTATGACGAAAGCGCGTAAGTGCAAGCCCTCAGAAACCCATAGAGATTGTATTGAAAGCTCTGATATTTGAAAAAAATAGATTTTACATGGGAGTCTATGACAGACTTCTGGGCGATTTTCAACCTGACTGAAATCGCCCCAAAAGGGGGGGGGGGGGCATTTGAAGCACGACTTTAGCCTGATTGGACATTTAGTGGCACTGTGGCAGATCAGACGTCTAGATTACAACACTGATAACTACTGTTGCCGTGATATAATTGATTAGAAAAAAAATCCCTTCCTTTTCCCGTTTGGCAGTGCGTCGCCCATATCGCCCTATTGAACACACCGCCCCTGATCTAAAAACAGCTTAAATTATGTATTCCTATTTAAAAATATTTTTATATATAGACAAATATATGGTAAAGAAAGAGTGTTCTCTTTTCAGTCTTTTCAGTCTTATGAATCAGTAGGTAGTCAGCAGGTAGTCACCATCAAAAACACCGTCCTTAGAGAGAGATTCTGAGGTAATACATTTGCACGGACTGAGCGAGCGCTTATGAGGTGAAGTAGAACTAGAACTGCCCGCATCTTCCATGACTGCTACGAGGTAAAATAGAGCCCAGCAACCAGCATAGCAACCAGCATAGCAACCAGCATAGCAACCAGCATAGCAACCAGCATAGCAACCAGCATAGCAACCAGCATAGCAACCAGCATAGCAACGGACGCTTTGGTTCATTAAGTAGGCCGGTCAGAATTTTGCAAGTTCTAGCAACAGCCCTAGCAACGGAAGCTAGAGTTCATCGAATCCCATTGTGATGCATGGGGAGACACTTTTTGGCAGGTGGACACTAATTGGCTTGACAGGCCATCTTTCTAACTCTAAGTTGTCGTCCTACTGTGAAGCACTCTGAGGCTCTCGATATGAAAAGAGCTATACTAATAAATATATTATTATACTAATAAAATATATTATATATTATTACTTCCAATGAATTCAAGGGAAATGCAGGAAAATTAGCTCAAAGGAGCAAGTTAGTATTTGAAACCGTTTTTTTTTTGTTTGTCGTAACAAAGTCTCTGTTGTGTTTTTTTCAGAATCTCTGGAGTTGATCGCCACAGCTGCAGAGCACTCCAACACAGCCATCAGTAAGATGGTGAGTCCTTTCACAGTTCACACTGCAGAACCCGCCCTCACTAGTGATGCGAAGGGTTGACTCATAACCAGTGGTGATTTTAGCACCAACAGCAGTCCCAACACCTTACCACCTTACACCTGGCTATCAGCGGAGCCTTGTCTGGCAGTTCATTCAGCCTCATTTACTGCCTTTTAAAAAAGCATAGCTGATTTAATATAGCTGATAGCCTCATTTAATGCCTTTTAAAAAACATGGCTGACTTGCTTAAACAAATGTGGTTTCTACTGACAATTGAGATGTACAAAACTATGACATAAGGGGACGACCAGCGGATTAGAGGCAATCCATCATTTCGATTAAGGCATTAATGAGCGAGCTAGGACGGACGTAGTCAGTATAACTATTTGTTCAGCACTTTTGAAATGTACATCGACAGAATTCAGAACCTGGGCCGTTCTTACAGTGTTCTCCCTGTACACCAAGTCAGAACCGTAGGATAAATAAAGGGGACATGTAAACAGACAATGAAAGCTCTTACAATATTCGATGATGACATTTCTCTAAGACAGGCTATAGGCTACATGGCATTTTTCCTATTTTGTTGCCTTACAACCTGGAATTAAAATAGATTTTTTGGGGGGTTTGTATAATTTTATTTACACAACATGCCTACCACTTTGAAGATGCAAAATATTTTTAATTGTGAAACAAACAAGAAATAAGACAAAAATACAGAAAACTTGAGCGTGCATAACTATTCACCCACCCCCAAAGTCAATACTTTGTAGAGCCACTTTTTGCAGCAATTACAGCTGCAAGTCTCTTGGGGTATGTCTCTATAAGCTTGGCACATCTAGCCACTGGGATTTTTGGCCATTCTTCAAGGCAAAACTGCTCCAGCTCCTTCAAGTTGGATGGGTTCCGCTGGTGTACAGCAATCTTTAAGTCATACCACAGATTCTCAATTGGATTGAGGTCTGGGCTTTGACTTGGCCATTCCAAGACATTTAAATGTTTCCCCTTAAACCACTCGAGTGTTGCTTTAGCAGTATGCTTAGGGTCATTGTCCTACTGGAAGGTGAACCTCCGTCCCAGTCTGAAATCTCTGGAAGACTGAAACAGGTTTCCCTCAAGAATTTCCCTGTATTTACCGCCATCAATCATTCCTTCAATTCTGACCAGTTTCCCAGTCCCTGCCAATGAAAAACATCCCCACAGATGGTGTTCTCGGGGTGATGAGAGGTGTTGGGTTTGCGACAGACATAGCGTTTCTCTTGATGGCCAAAAAGCTCAATTTTAGTCTCATCTGACCAGAGTAACTTCTTCCATATGTTTGGGGAGTCTCCCACATGCCTTTTGGCGAACACCAAATGTGTTTGGTTCTTTTTTTCTTTAAGCAATGGCTTTTTTCTGCCCACTCTTCCGTAAAGCCCAGCTCTGTGGAGTGTACGGCTTAAAGTGGTCCTATGGACAGATAATCCAATCTCCGCTGTGGAGCTTTGCAGCTCCTTCAGGGTTATCTTTGGTCTCTTTGTTGCCTCTCTGATTAATGCCCTCCTTGCCTGGTCTGTGAGTTTTGGTGGGCAGCCCTCTCTTGGCAGGTTTGTTGTGGTGCCATATTCTTTCAATTTTTTAATAATGGATTTAATGGTGCTCCGATGGATGTTCAAAGTTTCAGATCTTTTTTTATAACCCAACCCTGATCTGTACTTCTCCACAACTTTGTCCCTGACCTGTTTGCAGAGCTCCTTGGTCTTCATGGTGCCGCTTGCTTGGTGGTGCCCCTTGCTTAGTGGTGTTGCAGACTCTGGGGCCTTTCAGAACAGGTGTACTGTATATATACTGAGATCATGTGACAGATCATGTGACACTTAGATTGCACACAGGTGGATTTTATTTAACTAATTATGTGACTTCTGAAGGTAATTGAACCAGATCTTATTTAGGGGCTTCATAGTAAAGGGGGTGAATACTACTTTTCCGTTATTTATTTCTTAGAATTTTTTGAAACAAGTTATTTTCTTCATTTCACTTCACCAATTTGGACTGTTTTGTGTATGTCCATTACATAAAATCCAAATAAAAATCAATTTAAATTACAGGTTGTAATGCAACAAAATAGGAAAAACGCCAAGGGGGATGAATACTTTTGCAAGGCACTGTACTATCTATTTCAGGTTTTGATTCTCCTACACACCTGTGTTAAGATGTAACTATACAGATGTAGGATCTTAATTTGAGCCAGTTTGCTACAGCAGCAACAGGAAATGTGATTTATTATGTGGATTCTAATTCATGGACATTCTTGTAGGAGTTGATACATTTTTCGTTAAGGCAAATCAAGTCTGACATTTCTAAGTGGAAATTACAAACTTTTGAAACCTTTTAAAAATTCAAATACACTGCGAGTTTGCATTTCCTGCCGTGCAGGAAAATTCTCAGCAAAGAAAGAGTGATCAAATTAAGGTCCTACATCTGTAGATGTGCAAACGTGCTTGTGCAAAGGTTTTTTTGGTTCTCATGCGCAGCACCTTGACATCGTGTGTGTGTAACGTACAGGAGCGTATGCGGAAGCTACTGAAGGTGTATGAGTTGCTGGGAGGAGAGGAGGACATTGTTAGCCCTACTAACGAACTCATGAAGGAGGGACATATCCTCAAACTGTCGGCCAAGAACGGCACCTCGCAGGACAGATACCTCATACTGGTGAGTGAGTCATTGTAACAGTGTGAAAAATAGTGTGAAAATAGTATTGTTGAACTGTTGATATATTTGGAGAACACTGTTCACTGCTGAAATCATGTTGTGATTTATGTCATGAATCCAAAATGTAAAAATGCAACTAGGCCTACATCTCGCTCCCCTGTCTCGCCCTATCAACTCTCCCTCTCTCTCTCCTCTCTCTCTCTCTCTCCTCCCCTCTCTTCACCACTCCTCTCTCTGTCTCTCTCTCTCTCTCTCTCTCTCTTTCTCTCTCTTTCTCTCTCTCTCTTTCTCTCTCTCTCGTCTCTCTACCTCTTCCCCCCCCCCCCCCCCCCCCCCCCCTGCAGTTCAATGATAGGTTATTGTACTGCGTCCCTAAGCTGAGGTTGATTGGTCAGAAGTTTGGGGTGAGAGCCAGGATCGATGTGGATGGGATGGAGCTGAAGGAGAGCAGCAGCCTTAACGTCCCCAGAACCTTCCTGGTGTCAGGAAAACAACGATCACTAGAACTACAGGCCAGGTGATGAGGGCAGCGGATGATCTTCCTCTATCTTGAATTACAGGCTTTTGAGTAGTTTACAATGAATTGCAATTAATATTTAGCTCAAAGCCATTTGTTTACTGTGAGTAGGACTGAAGAAGAGAAGAGAGATTGGATCCAGGCTATCCAGGCCACGATTCAAAGACATGAACAGACGCTAGCGACATTCCACCATCTCAGCTGTTCTCTCCGAGACGAGGACTATACTCCTCCCAACTCACCTGTAAGATACTACACTACCCATAACCCCTAGGACTACACTACCCCTAACCCCTAGCCCCTAACCCCTAGTCCCTAACCCCTAGTCCCTAACCCCTAGTCCCTAACCCCTAGGACTACACTCCTCCCAACTCACCTGTAGGATACTACACTACCCATAACCCCTAGCCCCTAACCCCTAGCCCCTAACCCCTAGTCCCTAACCCCTAGTCCCTAACCCCTAGTCCCTAACCCCTAGCCCCTAACCCCTAGTCCCTAACCCCTAGGACTACATTCCTCCCAACTCACCTGTAAGATACTATACTACCCATAGCCCCTAGCCCCTAGTCCCTAACCCTTAGCCCCTAACCCCTAGTCCCTAACCCCTAGTCCCTAACCCCTAGCCCCTAACCCCTAGTCCCTAACCCCTAGGACTACACTCCTCCCAACTCACCTGTAAGATACTATACTACCCATAGCCCCTAGCCCCTAGTCCCTAACCCTTAGCCCCTAACCCCTAGTCCCTAACCCCTAGCCCCTAGTCCCTAACCCCTAACCCCTAGTCCCTAACCCCTAGTCCCTAACCCCTAGCCCCTAACCCCTAGCCCCTAACCCCTAGTCCCTAGCCCCTAGCCCCTAGCCCCTAACCCCTAGGACTACACTCCTCCCAACTCACCTGTAAGATACTACTGATACTACTAACCCTAACCCCTAGCCTCTAACCCAAGCATAACCCCTAACACCAGCATAGCCCCTAGCCCCTAGCCCCTAGCCTCTAACCCCAGCATAACCCCTAGCCCCTAGCCTCTAACCCCAGCATAACCCCTAGCCCCTAGCCTCTAACCCCAGCATAACCCCTAGCCCCTAGTCTCTAACCCCAGCATAACCCCTAGCCCCTAGCCTCTAACCCCAGCATAACCCCTAGCCCCTAGCCCCTAGTCCCTAGCCCCTAGCCCCTAGCCCCTAACCCCTAGGACTACACTCCTCCCAACTCACCTGTAAGATACTACTGATACTACTAACCCTAACCCCTAGCCTCTAACCCAAGCATAACCCCTAACCCCTAGCCTCTAACCCCAGCATAACCCCTAGCCCCAGCATAACCCCTAGCCCCTAGCCTCTAACCCCAGCATAACCCCTAGCCCCTAGCCTCTAACCCCAGCATAACCCCTAGCCCCCTAGCCTCTAACCCCAGCCATAACCCCTAGCCTCTAACACCAGCATAACCCCTAGCCCCAGCATAACCCCTAGCCCCTAGCCTCTAACCCCAGCATAACCCCTAGCCCCTAGCCTCTAACCCCAGCATAACCCCTATCCTCTAACCCCAGCATAACCCCTAGCCTCTAGCCTCTAACCCCAGCATAACCCCTAGCCCCTAGCCTCTAACCCCAGCATAACCCCTAGCCCCTAGTCTCTAACCCCAGCATAACCCCTAGCCCCTAGCCTCTAACCCCAGCATAACCCCTAGCCCCTAGCCCCTAGTCCCTAGCCCCTAGCCCCTAGCCCCTAACCCCTAGGACTACACTCCCCCAACTCACCTGTAAGATACTACTGATACTACTAACCCCTAACCCCTAGGCCTCTAACCCAAGCATAACCCCCTAACCCTAGCCTCTAACCCCAGCATAACCCCAGCCCATAACCCCCAGCCCCAGCATAACCCCTTCCCCTAGCCTCTAACCCCGCAGAACCCCTGCCCCTATCCTTCTAACCCATCATACCCTAGCCCCTAGCCTCTAACCCCAGCATACCCCTAGCCTCTACCACCATCCGAACCCCTAGCCCAGCCATAAACCCCTAGCCCCTAGCCTCTAACCCCGCATAACCCCTAAGCCATAGCCTCTTAACCCCAGCATAACCCCTTCCTCTAACCCAGCATAAACCCTAGCCTCAGCCTCTAACCCCCAGCATAACCCCTAGCCCCTAGCCTCTAACCCCAAGCATACCCCTAGCCCCCTAGCCTCTCACCCCAGCAAATAACCCCTTACCTCTAACCCCAGCATAACCCCTAGCCCCAGCATAAACCCCTACCCCTAGCCTCTAACCCAGCATAACCCCAGCCTCTATCCTCTACCCAGCATAAAACCCCTGCCTCTAACCCCAGCATACCCCTAGCCTCTAACCCCAGCAAACCCCTACTCCCCTACCCTAACAACCCCAGCATAACCCCTAGTCTCTAACCAACAGAACCCCTAACCCCGAGCCTAACCCCAACATAACCCCTAACCCCTAGCCTCTAACCCCAACATAACCCCTAACCCCTAGCCTCTAACCCCAGCATAACCCCTAGCCTCTAACCCCAGCATAACCCCTAGCCCCTAGCCCCGAACCCCCAGCATAACCCCCTAGCCCCAGTCTCTACCCCCAGCATAACCCCTAGCCCCTAGCCTCTAACCCCTAACCCCAGCATAACCCCTAACCCCTAGCCTCTAACCCAGTATATACCCCCTAGCTCTCACCCCAGCACTAACCCCTAGCCCCTAGCCTCTAACCCCTAACCCCAGCATAACCCTAACCCCTAGCCTCTAAACCCCAGTATACCCCCCTAGCCTCTAACCCCAGCATAACCCCTACCCCTAGCCTCTAACCCCTAACCCCAGCATAACCCCTAACCCTAGCCTCTAACCCCAGTATAACCCACCTAGCCTCTAACCCCAGCATAACCCCTAGCCCCTAGCCTCTAACCCTAACCCCAGCATAACCCCCTACCCCTAGCCTCTAACCCCACATAACCCCTAACCCCTAGCCTCTAACCCCCAGCATAACCCCTAGCCTCTAACCCCAGCATAAACCCCTAGCCCCTAGCCTCTAACCCCAGCATAACCCCTAGCCCCTAGCCTCTAACCCCTAGCCCCTAGCCTCTAACCCCAGCATAACCCTAGCCTCTAACCCCAGCATAACCCCTAGCCTCTAACCCCAGCATAAACCCCTAGCACCAGCATAACCCCTAACCCCAGCATAACCTCTAGCCATTAGGCACTTGAATTGATCTGAAAGAGTTGGTTTAAGCAATATTCCGGGCTGAGCCTCTACCGTACCTTATTACACTATTAAATTATCACTCTTTCGCTTCTGAATACCTCCATCTGTGAGATCATATTACATTTCGGCTAACAAAGTTATGGACTATCGAACGAAACCTTATTATTAGTCTGTCTTCTCCTCTCGGTTTCTATCATCTATATATTATCTATCTGGTTCTCGTATCTATATTCTCCTCTTTCTTATACTTTACTCTATATCTCTCTTTCTCTACTCTTTATTCTCTCAATCTCCTCTTTCTTTCTTTTTCTTCTCTCTCTCTCTTTCTATCTCTTATTTCCTTCTCTCTTCCCCTCTCTCGCCTCTCTCTCTCTTCTCTCTTCCTTGCTCCTCTCTTCTTCTCTTCACTTCTCTCTCAGAACTGTAGTGAGCTCGGGAAGCGTGCCCCCACTCCGATCCGGGAGAAGGAGGTGACTTTGTGTATGAAGGGCCAGGAGCGTTAAAACCCCATCAAAAGAGACGCCACATGCAAAGCCTGGGACACGTACGTTTCCAATCAAGTCATGATGTTTGTACAGTGAAGGAAAAAAGTATTTGATCCCCTGCTGATTTTGACGTTTGCCATGATTAAGGGCATGATCAGTCTATAATTTTAATGGTAGGTTTATTTGAACAGTGAGAGACAGAATAACAACAAAAAAATCCAGAAAAACGCATGTCAAAAATGTTATAAATTGATTTGCATTTTAATGAGGGAAATAAGTATTTGACCCCTCTGCAAAACATGACTTAGTACTTGGTTGCAAAACCTTTGTTGGCAATCACAGAGGTCAGACGTTTCTTGTAGTTGGCCACCAGGTTTGCACACATCTCAGGAGGGATTTTGTTCCACTCCTCTTTGCAGATCTTCTCCAAGTCATTAAGGTATCGAGGCTGACGTTTGGCAACTCAAACCTTCAGCTCCCTCCACAGATTTTCTATGGGATTAAGGTCTGGAGACTGGCTAGGCCACTCCAGGACCTTCATGTGCTTCTTCTTGAGCCACTCCTTTGTTGCCTTGTGGCCAAGACCAAAGAGCCATTCCAGCCTTGTGTAGGTCTACAATCTTGTCCCTGACATCCTTGGAGAGCTCTTTGGTCTTGGCCATGGTGGAGAGTTTGGAATCTGATTGATTGCTTCTGTGGACAGGTGTCTTTTATACAGGTAACAAGCTGAGATTAGGAGCACTCCCTTTAAGAGTGTGCTCCTAATCTCAGCTCGTTACCTGTATAAAAGACACCTGGGAGCCAGAAATCTTTCTGATTGAGAGGGGGTCAAATACTTATTTCCCTCATTAAAATGCAAATAAATTAATAACATTTTTTTACATGCGTTTTTCTGGATTTTTGTTGTTGTTATTCTGTCTCTCACTGTTCAAATAAACCTACCATTCAAATTATAGACTGATCATTTCTTTGTCAGTGGGCAAATGTACAAAATCAGCAGGGGATCAAATATTTTTTTCCCTCACTGTACATGTGACCAGATTGTCAGTCGGTCTACTGCTGAAGAATTAGACACAACTCAATATTAAAAACTCTTGATTTAAAGAGATTCTCCTGTACTTTTGTATACTTTTTAGTCTGTAGTTCTGAAAGTACGGCTCACAAGCCAAAAGTGGTCCCCGAAAATTGTGTACTACGTCACATATGTGCAGATACAGTATGTGCACCACGTCATTGCTCTCTCTCTCTCTCTCTCTGCTTTGTGTGCATCTTGCTAGCTGTCACTCAAATGGGGGCTAAAGCTCCCCTCCCACCCCCTGCCAGAGAACTTCTCCCCTCCCAACCCCCAGCCAGAGAACTCCTCCCCTCCCACCCCCAGCCAGAGAACTCCTCCCCTCCCACCCCCAGCCAGAGACCTCACCTCCACCCCCATCCAGAGACCTCCACCCCTAACTCCTCTCTCTGTGTATCCCAGGTGGTGTGTGGAAAGTGTTCAGAGTTCAGGGCCCGTCTGCTCTATGACAACAACAGGGCTAACAGGGTGTGTATCGCCTGCTACAGCACCCTAGTGGGGGTTCCCCCCTCCCCCGCCAGTCTGACCAGCAGCGCTCACAGACGACGGTCGATATTAGAGGTATGTAGCGGATCCTGACTGCTGTAGAACAGTTCAAGGAGAGAGCAGAGATAAGACATAGGTGAGATTTAAAACATTTAAAACTAAATGCATGCTTTTCAATCGAACGCTGCTAGCACCCGCCCACCCGACTAGAATCACCACTCTCGACGGGTCTGACCTAGAGTATGTGGACAACTACAAATATCTAGGTGTCTGGTTAGACTGTAAACTCAACTTCCAGACTCACATAAAGAATCTCCAATCCAAAGTTAAATCTAGAATCGGCTTCCTATTTCGCAACAAAGCCTCCTTCACTCATGCTGCCAAACATGCCCTCGTAAAACTGACTATCCTACCGATCCTTGACTTCGGCGATGTCATTTACAAAATATCCTCCAACACTCTACTCAGCAAATTGGATGTAGTCTATCACAGTGCCATCCGTTTTGTCTCCAAAGCCCCATACACTACCCACCACTGTGACCTGTACGCTCTTGTTGGCTGGTCCTCACTACATGTTCGTCGTCAAACCCACTGGCTCCAGGCCATCTATAAATCACTGCTAGGCAAATCCCCGCCTTATCTTAGCTCATTGGTCACCATAGCAGCACCCACCCGTAGTCTGCGCTCCAGCAGGTATATCTCACTGGTCATTCCCAAAGCCAACACCTCCTTTGGCCGCCATTCCTTCCAGTTCTCTGCTGCCAATGACTGGAACGAATTGCAAAAATCTCTGAAGCTGGAGACTCTTATCTCCCCCAATAACTTTAAGCATCAGTTGTCAGAGCACCTTACCGATCACTGCACCTGTACACAGCCCATCTGAAATTAGCCCACCCAACTACCTCATCCCTATATTGTTATTTAATTTGCTCTTTTGCACCCCAGTATCTCTATTTGCACATAATCTCTTGCACATCTAGCATTCCAGTGTTAATACTATTGTAATTATTCTGCACTATAGCCTATTTATTGCCTTACCTCCATAACTTGCTACATTTGCACACACTGTATATATATTTTCTGTTGTATTTCTGACTTTATGTTTTTTTTTACCCCATATGTAACTCTGTGTTGTTTTTATTGCACTACTTTGCTTTATCTTGGCCAGGTCGCAGTTGTAAATGAGAACCTGTTCTCAACTGGCTTACCTGGTTAAATAAAGGTGAAATAAAAAATAAAAATAAAAAATAAAAAAGATTAAAGAACCTCCGGGTCTAATACATATCTACACAACAGATACTTCTGAAGGTTCTGCTGGGGGTGTGAGTCCTGACTGAAGGCCTTGGTCAAACAACATTACCAAAGGTCATACCAAGGACATGCATTTATGTCAAAAACTTTCCACATTTTGAACTGTACTCGAAGAGTAAAAGACAGGAGTAATGTAGTGTATTGGTGTGTGTGTGTGTCATATCTAATGAAACAGAGTGTTCTGTAATACAGTGTGTGTGTGTGTGTGTGTGTGTGTGTGTGTGTGTGTGTGTGTGTGTGTGTGTGTGTGTGGTGTACAGAAACAGGCGTCGGTAGCAGCAGAGAACAGTGTGTTGTGTAGCTTCCTTCACCACATGGAGAAGGGAGCAGGCAGAGGCTGGCAGAAAGCCTGGTTTGTCATCCCAGAGAATGAACCACTGGTGCTGTACATATACGGTGCTCCTCAGGTGAGATGACCTGTTATTACACCCCCATTTACCTGTTATTACACCCCTATTTACCTGTTATTACACCCCTATTTACCTGTTATTACACCCCTATTAACCTGTTATTACACCCCTATTAACCTGTTATTACACCCCTATTTACCTGTTATTACACCCCTATTACCCTGTTATTACACCCCATTTACCTGTTATTACACCCCTATTTACCTGTTATTACACCCCTATTAACCTGTTATTACACCCCTATTAACCTGTTATTACACCCCTATTTACCTGTTATTACGCCCCTATTTACCTGTTATTACACCCCTATTAACCTGTTATTACACCCCTATTTACCTGTTATTACACCCCTATTTACCTGTTATTACACCCCTATTAACCTGTTATTACACCCCTATTTACCTGTTATTACGCCCCTATTTACCTGTTATTACGCCCCTATTTACCTGTTATTGACCCTATTAACCTGTTATTACGCCCTATTTACCTGTTACGCCCCTATTACCTGTTATTACACCCCTATTTACCTGTTATTACACCCCTTTTACCTGTTATTACACCCCTATTTACCTGTTATTACTACCCCTCATTACCTGTTATTACACCCTATTAACCTGTTATTACGCCCCTATTTACCTGTTAATACACCCTATTTACCTGTTATACGACACCTATTTACCTGTTATTACACCCCTATTTACCTGTTATTACACCCCTATTAACCTGTTATTACACCCCTATTGACCTGTTATTACACCCCTATTAACCTGTTATTACGCCCCTATTTACCTGTTATTACACCCCTATTTACCTGTTATTACACCCCTATTTACCTGTTATTACACCCCTATTTACCTGTTATTACACCCCTATTAACCTGTTATTACACCCCTATTAACCTGTTATTACACCCCTATTTACCTGTTATTACACCCCTATTTAAACCTGTTATTACACCCCTATTAACCTGTTATTACACCCCTATTTACATGTTATTACACCCCTATTTACCTGTTATTACAACCCCTATTAACCTGTTTTATTACGCCCCTTTAACCTGTTATTACACCCCCATTTACCTGTTATTACACCCCTATTTACCTGTTATTACACCCCTATTTACCTGTTAATACAACCCCTATTTACCTGTTATTACGCCCCTATTTACCTGTTATTACACCCCTATTTACCTGTTATTACACCCCTATTAACCTGTTATTACACCCCCATTTACCTGTTATTACACCCCTATTTACCTGTCATTACACCCCTATTTACCTGTTATTACGCCCCTAATAACCTGTTATTACACCCCTATTAACCTGTTATTACACCCCTATTATCCTGTTATTACACCCCTATTTACCTGTTATTACACCCCCATTAACCTGTTATTACGCCCCTTTTAACCTGTTATTACACCCCTATTAACCTGTTATTACGCCCCTATTTACCTGTTATTACACCCCTATTAACCTGTTATTACGCCCCTATTTACCTGTTATTACACCCCTATTAACCTGTATTACACCCCCTATTAAACCTGGTTAGTTACACCCCTATTAACCTGTTATTACGCCCTATTTACCTGTTATTACACCCCTATTTACCTGTTTATTAACGCCCTATTTAGCTGTTATTACGCCCCTATTTACTGTTATTACACCCCTATTAACCTGTTATTACACACCGTTAGGACTGTTCATTACACCCCTATTTACCTGGTTTTACACCCCCTATTTTACCTGTTATTACGCCCCTATTACCTGTTATTACGCCCCTATTAACCTAGTTATTACCACCCTATTTACCTGTTATTACACCCCTAATTAACCATGTTATTACACCCATATTAACCTGTTATTACACCCCTATCAACCTGTTATTACACACCGTTAGACTGGTTATTACACCCCTATTAACCTGTTTATTAACGCCCCTATTTACCTGTTATTACACCCCTATTTACCTGTTATTACGCCCCTAGTGAACCTGTTATTACACCCCTATTTACCTGTTATTACGCCCTATTAACCTGTTATTACAACCCTATAACCTGTTATTACACCCTATTTACTGTATTACACCCCTATTTACCTGTTATTACACCCTATTACCTGTTATTACACCCCTATTTACTGTATTACACCCCTATTAACCTGTTATACACCCCTATTATCATGTTATTACACCCCTATTTACCTGTTATTACACCCCCATAACCTGTTATTACGCCCCTTTTAACCTGTTATTACACCCCATTAACATGTTATACGCCCCTATTTACCTGTTATTACACCCTATTAAACCTGTTATTACGCCCCTTATTTACCTGTTATTACACCCTATTAACCTGTTATTACACCCCTATTAAACTGTTATTACACCCTATAACCTGTATACGCCCTATTTACTGTTATTACACCCTATTTACCTGTTATTACGCCCCCTATTTAGCTGTTATTACGCCCCTATTTACCTGTTATTACACCCCTATTAACCTGTTATTACACACCGTTAGACTGTTATTACACCCCTATTTACCTGTTATTACACCCCTATTTACCTGTTATTACGCCCCTATTAACCTGTTATTACGCCCCTATTAACCTGTTATTACACCCCTATTTACCTGTTATTACACCCCTATTAACCTGTTATTACACCCCTATTAACCTGTTATTACACCCCTATTAACCTGTTATTACACACCGTTAGACTGTTATTACACCCCTATTAACCTGTTTATACGCCCCTATTTACCTGTTATTACACCCCTATTTACCTGTTATTACACCCCTATTTACCTGTTATTACGCCCTATTAACCTGTTATTACACCCCTATTTACCTGGTTATGACGCCCCTATTAACCTGTTATTACACCCCTATAACCTGTTATTACACCCCTATTTACCTGTTATTACACCCCTATTTACTGTATTACACCCCTATTTACCTGTTATTACACCCCTATTACCTGTTATTACACCCTATTAACCTGTTATTACACCCCTATCAACCTGTTATTACAACCCCTATTAACCTGTTATTACACCCATTTACCTGTATTACACCCCTATTTACCTGTTATTACACCCCTATTAACCTGTTATTACACCCTATGACCTGTTATTACGCCCCTATTTACCTGTTATTACACCCCTATTAACCTGTTATTACACCCCTATTTACCTGTATTACACCCCTATTTACTGTTATTACACCCCTATTTACCTGTTATTACACCCCTATTACCTGTTATTACACACCCTATTTACCTGTTATTACGCCCCTATTATCCTGTTATTACACCCCTATTTACCTGTTATACACCCCTATTGACCTGTTATTACAACCCCTATTGACCTGTTATTACACACCCTATTGACCTGTTATTACACCCCTATTTACCTGTTATTACACCCTATTAACATGTTATACACCCCTATTTACTGTATTACACCCCTATTACCTGTATTACACCCCTATTACCTGTTATTACACCCCTATAACTGTTATTACACCCTATTAAACTGTTATTACACCCCATTTACCGTTATTACACCCTATTAACCGTTATACACCATATTAACCTGTATTACACCCTATTACTGTTATTACACCCCTATTTACCGTTATTACACCCTATTAACCTGTTATTACACCCCTATTTACTGTTATTACACCCCTATTTACCGTTATAACCCCTATTATACCTGTATACACCACTATGAACCTGTTATACAACCCCTATTAACCTGTATACACCCCATTTACCTGTATTACAACCCCTATTAACTGTTATTACACCCCTATTTACTGTTATTACACCCCTATTAACTGTTATTAACCCCTATTTACCTGTTATTACACCCCTATAACCTGTTATACCCCTATTACCTGTTATTACACCCCTAATAACCCTGTTTTACACCCCGTTAGACTGTTATGAGACTGTTGTTAGACTGTTTAGACCGTTAGACCGTTGTTAGGCCGTGTTAGACCGTTGTTAGACGTTAGACGTTGTTAGACCGTTGTTAGGCCGTTGTTAGACCGTTAGACCGTTGTTAGGCCGTTGTTAGACCGTTGTTAGACCGTTGTTAGACCGTTGTTAGACCGTGTTAGGCCGTGTTAGACCGTTGTTAGACCGTTGTTAGGCCGTTGTTAGACCGTTGTTAGACCGTTGTTAGGCCGTTGTTAGACCGTTGTTAGACCGTTGTTAGACCGTTGTTAGACAGTTGTTAGGCCGTTGTTAGACCGTTGTTAGACCGTTGTTAGACCGTTGTTAGACTGTTGTTAGACTCAGATAATGATCCGCTGGTGCTCTACATATACGGTGCTCCCCAGGTGAGATGAGATGTGTGAGAAGCTTAGCTGTGTACATTTATCTTCCACTGAACATCCTGAATTAAGTTTCCTTTAAAAAGAAAGTTATTCTGACCATCCACTCTCTGTGTTTTCCCTCCTCTTCCTCCAGGATGTGAAAGCCCAGCGCTCTGTCCCTCTGATTGGCTTCGAGGTATCCCTTCCTGAGTCATGTGACCGCCTGGAACGCCGCTTTGCCTTCAAAATCAGCCAATCACACCTTACGCTCTACTTCAGCGCCGACGGGGAGGAACTACAGCGCCGCTGGATAGAGGTCCTATCACGCGCAGGGAGAGGGGAGGAGCTACAGGCTCACGGTTCAATCATAGAGGCCCTAGAGGAGGAAGGGGAGGAGACTGCAACCTCGGGAGAGAATACGTGATTGGTTAGAAGGCGTGAAATCAGTATTAGATCATCTGCTGTATACACATACAAACTACAAATTAAAAAACTACAAACTGTACAGAACATGAGCAGCACATACGCACAGTTTAAAACTTACAAACAAATACACAGACGTTTACACACGCACACACACAGACACACACCTCTCTGTATTTAATGTCAGTGATCAGTCAGTTGCATGATAATCTACAGGTCCGTTTCTCTCAGTCAGTGTATTGCTCACCATCTTGTCAGTGAACCAGTGTTTGCAACAACAACAAAAAATGCCAGTCAAAGTAAAAAGTGTTGCTCCCCTCCTCCCTTCAGAAGAAATACATTATATGAAGATGGTGTGTCATAGTGATTTTACATTTAATTCATTCTGAGCACTGAACAGACATCCTCCTCCGTACCATTTTCCTCTGCCAATATCGATGTTGATGATGTGATGTTTAGAACATTGATTGGTTTCTATGCTGTCTGAGTGTTCTATGGTTCTGAGTGTTCTATGGTTCTGAGTGTTCTATGGTTCTGAGTGTTCTAGGGTTCTGAGTGTTCTATGGTTCTGAGTGTTCTAGGTTTCTGAATGTTCTATGGTTCTGAGTGTTCTATGGTTCTGAGTGTTCTAGGGTTCTGAGTGTTCTATGGTTCTGAGTGTTTGTAACTCTCCACAGAAGGCAGTAGAAGGCTGATGAGACACTATGGCTCTGTTTCTGTGTCTGTTCCTCCATATGAAATAACTATTGTTTGGATGGTGATGGGGATTGTTGTGCTATTCCCTATCTGTTACTTTCTTCCTAATGCGATGAGATGATTCCAGAAGGGCTGGACTGGACAGTGTTGGAATATGATGATGGACTGAGGGCTAACTGACCCCTGGACAGACAGACAGACAGACAGACAGACAGACAGAGACTGTAGCTGGGCGCTAAAGACTGTCCCTGACTCCCTGGGCCTCTGGCTGAAGAGAAGAGGAAACAATATGGCCGCCTGCGGTAACTGCTCCCTCCCTCCCAAGTCTGTTCCTGGTGATGTGAAGCAGCATATGGGGGATCTTCATTTGAGCCAGTTTTCTACAGCTGGAATCCCGCAGCAACAGGAAATGTGAATTAATGGACATTTTTTGTAGGGGTTGATAAAGAAAATTGTTACTGCAAATCAAGTCTGACATTTTAAAGTGGAAATTGCTAACCTTAGAAGCCTTTTTAAACCTCGAATACACTACAAGGTTGCACAAAAGTGATCAAATTAAGATCCTACATCTGTATAGCCTTCCACCGGCTGCTCTGGGGGATGTGGTACAGTCTTACAGTCTCCAAGTGGTATCCTTCCTCCTCACGCACTCTCTCTCTCCGGGTTCGGCTGTATAGAATTTAGAATATAGAATTCCAAATTTAGAACTGTCCTTTTTTATGGAAAACTGTTTGCTTAGTTCTTGTACCTGACTAGTTGTTTTTGTACGTAGACCTTGGAAAGAGTATGTTGTATTACAGGGTGTCGCTACATTACCACAGGTATTTTAAAGACTGTTGAAAGAAGATTCAAAATATATATACCTTTTTTTTTTACGTTTGACACCAACTGAAAAAGTGAAGTTTCTGGCCCGTTTCTCACACTTTACAATTAGATGCAGTGTTTTTTTAAGCTTAAATAAATTCCCTCGATGCCCATGTTATCTCTAGAGCCAGAGCCGGTACTGAATAGAGGGATTGAACCCGTCTTTAACCCGAAAGCATTCTTTATTCAAAGCAGATATTCAGTGGCTGACTTTCAGAGTCTTTTTGACTCCCTGAAGCTGAACCATTTCAAAAACCCATCGGTCCCAACGGCTTGACACGTTTTGGAACAGCCCCTCTGCCACCTAGTGGGGGCAGGCAGTATTACAGGAAGAGTGTCTGCAGAAAGCAGGGAATTAGTTTGCCACCTGTTTGACCCTGGAGAGACACGGTGAGGAAAGTATAGAAAGACTGATGAAATACAGGACTTTCCATGAAATACTTTTGCTTTCTAAACATGGTAATATAGCTGGAGGTTCTCATGCCAGAGATGGCTTATAATATTGTAAATATGAAGCCCTTATTGGCTGCTTTGAGAACGTCTTCCCCATCTCCACTGATCTGTTTAGGCTACGCTACATTGGTATGTGCTGTTGTGTGAGAGAGCATGTTGTGTTGACAGGTTTACGAGAGAGGAGAGAGAGAGAGAGAGAGAGAGAGAGAGAGAGAGAGGGAACTCGAAGAGATTTCAGAAATGGCTTGTGTTTGTATCATTTCAACCAGGTGTCTGACTTTATGAGAGTGTTTTAATAGTTATAATAATTGTAGTAGTTATAGCAGAGTTCAGAATGATAACAGTATATATGAAACAGCAAAAAGTTGAATTTTTTTTGATGTTTTGATGAATCTGGGTTGTTTGTGTATGTTTGAAAAGAGGGGTTAACGAAAAAAGGTTTTTAAATATAATTTTCTTCTCCTCCCGGCCCAGTCTTAAGGGTGTGTAGGCCTATTTCTGTCACGTTGGTGCTAGATGTTGGTTCTAGATTGGACTTGGTTGGAAATCCCAGAACTTCTCCACGACCCACTAACTACCAGTACTTGTCCCCCCTAGTCTGAAGATGATGATGTTAATTACACAACGAAAGGGAATCGATACTAGCCTGCTACTAGGTCTATTTGTGCTGTCTTGCCAATCCATCCATAACAACGTCCATAAGAGTTGGCAAGGCAACACCAACAGATATGGGCCCAGGCTAAACTGACACATTGTCTTTTTGGTTTTTTTAAACTCCTAAACTAGTAACTCAACGTGGTGATTGATCGATGGATGAATTCAAAGGTATATTTTTGAAAACAGCTGAACAATTGTTGGATTGATATTGGTTTGTTATTGTTGCTCTTTGTTGTCTGAGAAACATTCAATAGCTTAACTACAGTATAATAACAGCAGACCGGACCAGACCAGATATGTTGACGCGTGTAAATATTGAAAATCCAGTGTGTACTTGACTTGCCGTCCATCCAGCCTCTACTGTACCTACCCTGGTCCCAGATCTGTTTGTGCTGTCTTACGAAATCCAATTTTATTCGCCACATTCGCTGGAATACAACAGGTGTAGTAGACCTTACAGTGAAATGCTTACTTACAAGCCCTTAACCAACAATGCCGTTTTAAGAAAAATAAGTGTTAAGTAAAAAATTGTTGAGTAAAAAACCATGCAAATAGTTTGGGTACCCATGATTAGCTGTTCAGTCTCCTGAGTGGCGCAGTGGTCCAAGGCACTGCATCGCAGTGTTAACTGTGCCACTAGAGATCCTGGTTCGAATCCAGGCTCTGTCGCAGCCGGCCGCGACCGGGAGACTCATGGGCGGCGCACAATTGGCCCAGCGTCGTCCATGGTAGGGGAGGGAATGGCCGGCAGGGATGTAGCTCAGTTGGTAGAGCATGGCGTTTGCAACGCCAGGGTTGTGGGTTTGATTCCCACGGGGGGCTAGTATAAAAAAAAGATGTATTCACTAACTGTAAGTCGCTCTGGATAAGAGCGTCTGCTAAATGACTAAAATGTAAATGTTCAGGAGTCTAATGGCTTGGGGGTAGAAGCTGTTAAGGAGCCTTTTGGACCTAGACTTGGCGCTCCGGTACCGCTTGCCGTGCGGTAGCATGGGCCGTACGCACTACCCTCTGTAGTGCCTTGTGGTCGGAGGCCGAGCAGTTGCCATACCAGGCAGTGTTGCAACCAGTCAGGATGCTCTCGATGGTGCAGCTGTATAACTTTTTGAGGATCTGAGGACCCATGCCAAATCTTTTTAGTCTCCTGAGGGGGAATAGGCTTTGTCGTGCCCTCTTCACGACTGTCTTGGTGTGTTTGGACCATGATAGTTTGTTGGTGATGTGGACACCAAGGAACTTGAAGCTCTCAACCTGTTCCACTACAGCCCCGTCGATGAGAATGGGGGCGTGCTCAGTCCTCTTTTTTTTCCTGTAGTCCACAATCATCTCCTTTGTCATGGTGTTGGAGTCGTGCCTGGCCATGCAGTCATGGGTGAACAGGGAGTACAGGTGGGGACTGAGCACGCACCCTTGAGGGGCCCCCGTGTTGAGGATCAGCGTGGCAGATGTGTTGTTACCTACCCTTACCACCTGGGGGCGGCCTGTGAGGAAGTCCAGGATCAAGTTGCAGAGGGAGGTGTTTAGTCCCAGGGTCCTTAGCTTAGTGATGAGCTTTGAGGGCACTATGGTGTTGAACGCTGAGCCATAGTCAATGAATAGCATTCTCACGTAGGTGTTCCTCTTGTCCAGGTGGGAAAGGGCAGTGTGGAGTGCAATAGAGATTGCATCACCTGTGGATCTGTTGGGGTGGTATGCAAATTGGAGTGGGTCTAGGGTTTCTAGGATAATGGTGTTGATGTGAGCCATGACCAGCCTTTCAAAGCACTTCATGGCTACAGACGTGAGTGCTACGGGTCGGTAGTCATTTAGGCAGGTTATCTTAGTGTTAAATCTTAGTCCTGTGTTGTCTCTTTGCCTGTTTGATGGTTCATCGGAGGGCATAGCAGGATTTCTTATAAGCGTCCAGTTTGGGTATGTACGTACGGTCACTGTGGGGACGACGTCATCGATGCACTTATTGATGAAGCCAGTGACTGATGTGGTGTACTCCTCAATGCCATCGGAAGAATCCCGGAAACATATTCCAGTCTGTGCTAGCAAAACAGTCCTGTAGCTTAGCAACAATGAACATAGGATTTGGCAAAGACAGCACAAACAGGTGCCAAGAACACTGATTAATCCCCCCCCCCCCCCCCCCCCCATTATAGCAGTGCCAGTGTTGTTGGGTTTATAGATACCTACTTATATCTATCTGCGTTATTGAGTTGATGAGTGCCAGTCTTCTCTACAAACAGCACAGACACAACAGGACCATGACTGTGTCTGCACACATAACAATACTGTCGATAAAGTTGATATAAACTAGTATGCTGGGACAGCAACTTCCTGTCT